CGGGGCGCCGCGGGGTCGCCCACCCTCTCAACCCCGCACTTCCCCGGCCCGGCTCCGGCACTCACCCGGGGCCACCAGCGGCGAACTCACGGCGTCTCCCACGAAGACGGCAGCGGCGAGGAGCGCGGACCCCGGGAGTCCCCGCGGAGCCATCGTCGCGTCCCGGCGCCCTCCTCCGCGGGGCGCTGCGTCCCGGGCTCGGGCGGACCGTGCGGCTGTGCAGCCGGCGGGAGGACCGAGTGTCCCGGCCCCGAGCGCAGGACGAACCCCGCCCCGCGGAGGGCCCGCCCCAGCCCCACCCACCCCGGCTAGGCCACACCCCTCCCCGCCAAGCCCCGAATTCAGCCTAATGGTCACGCCCCCGTGCCCCCGCCCACCTCGTCCTGGCTCCGCCTTCCTGTCGCTCCCGCTTCTCTCCTAACTGCTTCTGCCACACTGAGTCGGCCGTGGCCCCGCCCCTGCACCACGCCCACCACGCCCGGGTCCCGCCTCCTCTTGCTGAGCTCTCTTCCTTTCCAAACTCCGCCCGGATGCAACTGCCGGGACAGCGCGGGAGCCTGGGGCTGGGGCTGGAGGAGGGGGGCGGGGAGAGGAGGAGCGGGCGGGAGAGGGTGGGGTTAGCCCGGACTCAACCACTTGGGTTCTAGAACCAGGCCGGCGTGGGAAGGAGAGCCGGAAGGTAGCAGGAACCCCTGCAGGGCCGGCATCGCGGAGGGCACAATGCTTTCCCTCCGTTGGCATCCATCCAGCTACCGCTGCCCACCGTTTCTGGTCCGGGAAGATTTCTGAATGTCAAGGGGGAAGGAATAGACATTAATATCTTCAATTGTTCCTAGGCCTGGGTCCCTGCAAGTGTTCCCATTAGGGGAACTACCTGCACACATTTCCAGGAATAACCTGGAGGGTTCTGTCGATTTTATTTTAATCGCATCTGGCATCTTGCAAACACTCCCACGAGGTTAGCTCTGCAGGTGTCCAGTCACTTCTTTTATCTCCTTCTGACCCCACATCAGCTCTGTGACACGGGCCTGATCCCATTTCACAGGCCAGGAGGTAGCTCCACTGAGTCTCTGCCACCATAACTGTGATCACTGTGGTTAGGTCCTTGTTGTGCTTGCCCCAGGCACCTGGCTCCAGGGCAGCATGCACTAAAAGGCAGAAATGTTTCTTAAAGTGGACTCGTCCCAGCACTGGTAGGGTAGGTGGCCTTTCTAAGGACATCCGCCTTTACTAACCCTTAGCGACTCCTTCTGAAACAAGGCCATGGAGTCTAAGCTTGAGGGAGAGGGGGGCATGCTTTGGCAGGCGCTCAACACTAGGCAGCAAGGAAGGGCTGATTGAAAAATGGGTTTTCATTATGGGCCTCATCCTTAAACTGACTCTGACGGTCTTGAGTTTTAAAGGGAGGACTATTTATCCTCTCGGTTAATGTTCCCTGCCATCTGCTAGTCTATTGCAAACATTTACACCAATGTGAGAATTGCCAGCCACAGAGTACTACAGATGGCTGAAGCTGAAGCATGGAGCTCCTGCCCTTTGAAGCCAAAGGCAGAAACTGCCCAGTTTAAGTCTTACCAGAGCTGGCAGCACATCCTGTAGTCTGACAGGCTTAGCAGGCCGCCCTTCCTACTTTTATATCAATATAAAAATTGAGAATAGTGGTAGAGCATTTGTAATAATGATAATAGTGGCAGTGAATATTAAGGGAAGAGATCCATGAGAGTTTCTAACTAAAGGAGAGAATTCCAGGCCTAGACATTGAGCTATAAATTATTAATGTTAGTCTGATTCATAATGTGCAGGGCCCAGTGCAAAGTGTTTAAATATCGCTAAGAATTTCAGCAACAGAGTATTAAACCAATTTTCAAGCCTTCCTAAACATGGAAATCTGTGATTACCTACTTACAAATCTAACCCTGGCTTTGGAATTTAGACTGTAACTTACATTAAAATATCCATTCAAAATATGAAATACCACCTCAAAATTGGATAATGTTTCACTTTTTCCCCATTGGTTGAACTTACTGTTCAGAAGTCAGGATCATTTTTAACAACAGATTGGAATAGGATGCCTGCTTATGGCTCTTCAGAAATAAAAATGCAGTATTTACAACCGAAGGAAACACCATTCATCATCCACTAAGCCTCTTACTTTGCAGAGAGATGGTTGACTTCTCAGGTCTAGGGATAAGATCAGAACTCATAGCTTCCCTTCCCAGACTTTCTATAACACTAACTACTTAAGATACTTTATAGTTATCTTCCTTTCATATTTGTGCATTTGCATATCTTGTTTAAAATAGTAAGGAAAGATGAAAGGAAGAAAAAAAGAAAGAAAATTGCCTTCAAATTATTTTCAGCTCCTTTATTTATATGTATGCATGCCTAAAAGCTCACCATTTTATCTTAAATGTAAGGACTCCAGTGTAAGTGAAGTTCTCTTTTGTATTAAGAAAAGAAACTCATATTACTTTGATGAAACAAAACTGGCATTCCAAAGCTAAGTAATCCCAAAGCTTTTCAGAAATCATATAGAAATAGATGTGACTACGGATGTCAATTATTCAAGTCCTGCCCCCCATTTAGTAGGATCCTGTAATGAGCAGTTTCCCCTCGATTATTTCATGAAATCTTCACAACGAGGGGATATTTTAAGAAGTATTGTTAGCAAGTAGAGCTGTGGCTCAAGGGGTAGAGTGCTCACCTTGAGCTAAAGAGCTCAGGGGCAAAGCCCGGGCCTGCTTTCAAGCCCCACAACCAACAACAACAAAAAAGTATTGTTAATGAGCCTCACTTCAAAGCTGTGAGGCCTTGGATTTAAGAGAGGGTGCTGAGCCAAACAGCTGCTGCCTGGTCCCGCTGAGATGTAATTCCAGAATCAGTTCACTCCAGCCTGGGCTTGCCATACACAGCAGTCTGCCTCTGAAATGCAGGAAACTAGCTCTTCACATCTTCCTTCCCAATACAGCCTCTTTCTTTTATTTCATTATTGCATGTGTGATCTGGCCTCTCTAAACTGATTATTGCTTGCATGTTTTTTTTTTTTTTTTTTTTTTTTTTTTTTCGTGGGGCCTGAACTCTGGACCTGGGCGCTGTCCCTCAGCTCTTCAGCTCAAGGCTAGCGCTCTACCACTTGAGCCACAGCGTCACTTCCAGCTTTTTTTTCTTTTTGCTTATGTGGTGCTGAGGAATCGAACTCAGGGCCTTCTGCATGCAAGGCAAGCGCTTTACCACTGAGCCACCTTCCCAGCCCTTGCATGTTTTTTTAACAAGAATAATTTACTTATATGTGGGAATGAATTTTAAATCAGAGTGCACAGGATCAGATTGAGTAATTTATATAAAGTGCTTCCCTTTCTAGCTGCTGTTTAGTCTTTTCTTCCAGTTTCTCTGACAGAATTTAGTTAATCATTCCCCTTTGTAAAAACCTTTCCTGTTTTCTTCTGTATGGCTAAGGCAGTAATTTTCATCGCCATCGTTTAAATGCCTAAGTCTCAATCGACTGGTATGTACTCTAATTACTGTTGAAAGTACTTCCACAGAAGTCCCTGTTTAAAAAAATATATTCCATCTCTGATTTCCATGAGGTCAGCTCTCCTTTTGAGAGGTTATATGGGAGATAAATATATAGTTTGTCATATATATATTTAATACATACCATAATATATATTATGGTATATGTATGTGTGTGTATATATATATATATATATATATCTTCAAGGTAATACATACAATTCTTTAAAGCTAGGGCTATTTTGACCTAACAACAAATATGTACAGTGTTCTAGTGTCACCAATGGAGGTGAGGTTTAGTGAAGTTTTCCTTTAAATGCAGGAACTCTTCACTTAGGGCCCTTGACTTCAATCGTGGAAAAAGAATTTCTGGACAAGTCACAATGGTAAGAAAACTTGCAGAGCTTTATTGAATAAGTAAACAAACAGGCAAGCAGACAAACAGACCAACAGAAGGACAGAGGGCACACTCTAGCAGAGTATGAATGCTCTCATAGGGAGATAGAGAGAGACAGAGACAGAGACAGAGACAGAGACAGAGAGATCCAGAAAGAGACACACAGCTTCTTGGGCTGCTGAGATATTTATAAGGTAAAGACAGGGAGGGGGTCAGCTTCAAAGATATGTAAAGATAGATGCATTGTCTTTGCTCTGATAACACCTGGTGTTACTTTCTGAGTTTACAGCTAAGAATGCATCCTGCCATAAAACAGATCCTTATTGTTGAGATAAGGAGGTTCCCTACTATCTGCATTTTGGGGCAAGAAGTTGCTTAAGTTTGGGGAAAGCACTTTCCTTGGGAAGGTATACATCCTGTCAGACAAGTGTTAATTCTTGGGGTGAGGAAAGCATCCCTTAGGAAGGAATGCATCCTGCTGTCTCTCTTTGAAGCCAAGATGACATTTCTATGTTTCTAAATACCATATTTCTGAGTTGCATCCCCAGGCCTCAGTTTCCTTAAGTTATCCTGTTTCATTTTCCCCTAAATAACTTTGGGAATATCTCCTATATTTGCTGTAAGCAGACCATACCTCATTTTTCTGTAGTCTATACAGCTTCACTAGTATTAGGCAGAGAATTAAAAGGGGTAACACACTGCAAGCTTAAGAAAAGATCCTCACATTTTCTATAGAAATCTAAGTTACCTGGAAGACAGGAAACAAGCACCTTCTGAAATGGAAATTGTCAAAGGCCCAGGGATCAGGGACAGCGCCCTGCTGATGACTCATTCATTCTGTGGCCCCCATCACTTAATTTTGGGTTGGTCTTCTTCCCCATGAATTGGGGATTGGGGAGATAGACATCACGTTTTCTAAAGGTTCCCATCTCATGCTAAGATTTCACATTGTAACTAGTAGCCAAATGACAGGGTCTGAAATCTGACTAGACTGCAGGTTTCTCAACACAGTGAGCTGGGTAGCACTTCGTTATGGAGAGCTACTGTGTGCACTGCCCGATGTTCAGCTGTGTCCTTGACCTCTAGGAACTAAATGCCAGCTGCATCCCACCCCAGCAGTGACAACCAAAAATGTCTTCAGATATCACCAACCATCCCTGGGGATGGGGGCAAGTCACCCCAATTGAGAATCACTGGGCTAGAGGAATTCTCTGGACTGTCACTGGAGGCTCTGAACAAAGCTTCATGGAGAAGGTATAATTTGAGCAGAGTTTTGATGAAAGCACAGAGTGGGGACTGAGGGAAAGAGAAG